AGAGTTCTTCATTGTTTAATTTTCATACTATAGAAGTTGTTAGCTGCCTGACACTTTCATAAAGTCATCACCCTGTTTTGCACCACTATTCAAGATTTGGGATCTTCTCTTTGTCAAAGCAGTAGAACTTGCTCTAACTGTTCCTGTTTGAGCAGATGACCTCCAGAGGTCCCTTCCAACCTCAGCTGTTCTGTGATCAGTATTCTAAAGTACTAAAACCGCCTATTTTTTTCGAGATAACAAAGATTGACATTTGACTCTTTTGATCTTTTCAGAATTGTAAATGCTTTATAGAGATATCTGGTATGAACTTTCCTACATTCAGAACATTTAATTTTAATTTGATTTCTTATTAATTAGATGAGCATTTGTCTAGGCTCTAATGTATGCCTTGGAAAATATTTTGCAAATAAGACATGAAAAAACAGAAGTTAGTTTATAGCACACTAATAAGAGATCTTTTAGGACTATAAGAAGAATAGCAGGCTAAAAATATTTAAGCTCTCCAGTATCTGTAAAATTATTTCATTTTTAATTTAAAAACTTTCAAGAATTTGTCCTTCCCCCCCTCCCGCGTTTGCCTTGACCTCAAATATAGATATTCTATTATCCTATAGCTATAGGTTTAGAATTACTTAAAACTATTATACTGTACTTGAATTTGATTGATCCAATGATGCTAGAAATACTTCTAAAGAGCATGTACTGTTCAAAGAAACAAGACTGCAGCATAAATATCCCAAGAACACAGTGTCCTGATAAGAGAAACAAGTTCTTCCACAAATATTAAGTTGACAAAATATTATGTAGACAATCATTTAAAAATCTGTTTTCTAACATAGATTTCATAGAATCATAAAAAAGGACCTCAGAGATCAACTAGTTTCAACCCCCTGCCATTGGCAAGGTCGCTAGGCCAGGCTGCCCAGAGCCACATCCAGCCTGGATTTGTAAATATTAATTACTGTGTGTTCTTATCTACACATGAACATGGTGTTGCTTCTTAAATATTCATAATTAATTCAAAAAAAAAAAACCCTAAGGCTGCAGCAAAAAAGGGAGACTGTAGTTAAATTCTGGCACAGGGATAAGAAACTCATAGCATCTAAACAGGTAACCTTATTGATACTGACATACATCTACTCCACAACATTTCAGCTGTATTGTCATAACTCAACAACTGAAAAAGACAATGTTGAAATTTAGTGTCACGAAGGAACAGGTTGAAGTTACAAATGAAACAGCCAGGGTCATAATGGACAAATCATGGCAGTACTGCTGTGCACTCAGAAAACTAAGACCAAAGGAAAAAAATTAACAAATTCCACTTGGTGTCACCCAATACATCTGTCACAAGCACAACCACCTATGTTCTGAAATTAATACGTAAAGAGAATATTCACTCACCTCCTGTTAAAAAAAAAAAAAAAAGCAAACCAACCAGATCTAGGCTGTATTCAAAACATTAATCTCTTGAAAACTTGTGTTCTGATGAATTTGTACTTTATTTCCTGTTAACTTACAAAAGGTACAGTACAAACACTTACTCAATTACAGGGAATACACAATAGCACACTCGGTGACTGTGAAACAACTTGGAAAACAACAAGGCTTTCAACAACTGTAGAAGAACTGGATTTGTGAGCATAAACATTCAAATAGCTTTACAATGAATTTCTGTAGAACTGCAGCATGTTCTGATGTAAAGAAAACTGAAAATACAATTTGATTTCTTGTAAGGAACACACTATAAAGTTTAGCATGAAATAGCTAGATGTAAATTGGAACTTCTATTGTGTGAAATGTATTTTACATAAAAGGAAGATTTCCAGAATACACTAGCAAAGTATTCAACTAAGTTTCAAATATTTCAATGCTATCTATGATTACTAATTACTGAACAAAATGCTGAAAGAGTAATATCTGAATAAAAAGACAGAAGCATATTTTCTTGTATGAAAACCCAGTGCATTTTTTTGAGAAGGTAAATAAAACTAATGCAAATAACATAAGCAATCATTCCATACCTTTTTTTCCTCTTCCAAATAAACAATCTGCAGCTTAATATGAATTCCTAAGGCTTTTACTAACACGCAAGGTGGCAATGTACAAACCTTTCTTTCCATTCCACTAAATCTCACAACTGATTTACATGTCCACTTTTCCACAAAGTAATGACTGCAAATTCTTCAGAATTGACCTTAGACTTTTTCCAAATGTCTGTATAGAGTATCTGTGATTTCCAGGTAGTACATAAAGTCCTACAAAATCCATTTTCAGTTCTGCCTATACCTCATATACAAATTTTACCAAAAAGAAAACAGCTGTGTAGTAACATTTTTTCCTCAGACAGACCTATTTGACATCACTCTCAAACGAGATATGTAGATATTAGATTATAAAAACAAGAAAGTATGAATTTCTTTCCTTAAATGATACAGCAATGTTAACGCAACAGCATAAATAACTGAATTTCTCCTTCTGGGTCTGACGCCAGGATGTTCTGAGTGGCCAATTCCAGCCTCTATTGCTGTAAACTTTGGAAATGAGCATATTCTTTACTGTGTTTCATTAAGCAGGCATTTCAGCTCCAGTAATGACTTTTAGAGCAACAACAACTATTTACAAAACACAAACTTAAAATAGGTATTTAACATGAGTGTTTATATTGATTTCTATGAGATTTAGGGGAAGTTCTCTGCTAGTACCTGAGAGGGTAAGGGAAAGTGTTCTGTGTTACTGCAATTACAGTGATAACCGACTTGGAAATTACTTAAGTGACTTCAATTCTACTACAGTTCTTCGATTTCCTGAAGCCAGTATTCATAAATGAACAAATAGTGGTGGCAATTTTTTTTTTCCCAGACACTTTCAAACACAGAATGTATATTTCCCTTATGCACACTCCCGCGACAGCAAGACAGTGCTCCAGTAAAATTTCAAAACTGTCCTAAAAGATCATCATCAGTAATGCATCTCAAAAACAGCTTCATCCATGTCTCAATGGAAGATTTACACTGATAGTTTAATCCCTTACAGACACAAAACGCTAGAAGCAAAATGCTGAAGGCAGTATTGTCTTCCTTCATCTCCTCCTAAGCATTCATGTGCAGTCCAAATGCACCTCACAAAACTGCAGAAGCTACAGGGACCATCCCAGAGTTCAAACAAAACCGGGTGAACAGTAACACAGTAATACTGACACTACAAACAAGAGATTTAAAAGAAAAAAGGTCTGTGATTCTGGGCAGCAGTCAAGCTTATTGCCGCCCTGAGTCGGTGCCAGTCATCCTATAAGAGGATGACACCCCCAGGCAAACTCAGGCTGGAAAGAAAATGACACCTCCTACTTCTCTAGTGCCTTTATGTGGTGGCTTCAAAATACCTGACAAATACTAACTCATTTCACCTCAGAATATTTTCTGCTGCTGGCTAAATGGCACTGTAGTCTAAACAAAGGACAACTGCTACCATTGGTGGACCAAGCTTTCAGCCAACAGCACTTCTTCAGTAGAAGACAACACATATGAGAAGATCTTAAGATTTCTCAGAGATTGGTCTTTGAAGTACTGAGACCAAAATCTATGCCTTTGGCCAAAGCCACCTCTGGAAAAAGCACAATACTAAACATCCTGCTTTTGCTATCTTTGTGTGAGCAGCTGAGCTTCAGACTCAGCTTCTGACTTCTTCAGAATTTTTGTGTGGTATCATGCTGAACAAAGTTCGGTAAGAAATAATGGTATTTCTTACCACACTAGAACAGGCTTATTATTAAAAAAAGTGATATTCATGTTAGAATCTCAAAATTTTGAGACAAAACAGAGGTGACTTGAAGATTACTGAACATATTTTGGCCATGATTCTTTTTGTCTCTTTTTAAGCTTTACTCTCTCTCTCTCTCTCTCCAGCAACCTAAATCAAAGCCACTGAATGGCTTACAGCTGAAAGATCATGCCTCTACAGATTTGCAGTGACAGCTGTAGACCAATACTCATGTGTCCTTTGTTTAAAAATGTTACCAAGGTTTGGACTGTAAGACAAAATCAGCACAGTCTTAGTCTACAGAAGGTATTTTTATTTCTTCTGGTCATCACTTACAGGGTTGGATATATATCCCCATCTACTATACTGTGCAACAATTATCAATACCATAATTGAAGTTCATATTCCACTAAATTTCAAGTCACTCTCTTAGCACATCAAATGAAATTTTTTGAATAGCAAGTTACCTGAAAGCATGTCTGAAAGTGCCAACCTAGTGAAATTCCTACATATTCCTACATACACAAGCATTTTCAGTATCAGATTAATAGTTTACAATCTCAGAATTGTTAAGGACTCGCTTGTGATAATTCAATAAACATTTGAAACAATGATTTTTATTTAAGCTTATTTGTTAACCATTAAGCAACATATTAAGATAAAGTAGTAAGACCACATGCAGGAGATCAGTTTTATTTATTATCCTTCTAACATCCTTCTATATTTTTTCTCCATTACTTTGCCTTACTGTATTTTGACTAATATACAAAGACACTTAAAAAAAATGACGCTGCACTTAGAGCTGCTAACAATATTAAACATGCTCCTTAGAAATACAGTTAGAATTGCTCCTAGAACTAGTACATGCCCTACAATTACAAGGGATTTTACTCAGTTACATCTATCATAGGTTAAGATTTCTATCTTAATAATGCTGGGTATAGTATCAAATAGTTATTCTTTCATACTTATCTCAGAAAAAGGTACAATAATTGTAGTGAAACACAAATGCAATACCATCCCAGGTTTTGGACTGATAAGTGACAGTTGGTCAACATATTTACAATTTTACAAAAATACTTAAATTGCAATTTTCTATAAAATTCTCTATGCTTAGTTAGAAGAAAGTACAGTTTACAACTTCAAAAGTCATTTCTGCATAAGGAAGAGTATCACCAACAATAAACCAAATACTAACAAATGTTATCAGAAATAAGACTTTTCAAAAGTTTACTTACGCCTGTCGGTCCCGGTACATCTTGTTAACTTTCTCCCACTGGGAATTAAGCTGAGTCAGCTTTTCCTGTATATTTGCTGTTTCCCTTGGCGTAGCACTCTGCAAAGCCGGTGTCTTCTTGCTGTGAATAATGTCTATATGACCCTGGAGTCTCCCCAGGCGATCTTTAATGTTCTGTAACACCAAGATTTTTTAAAAGAAAAACAAGACATCAGCTGTAAAAAACACTGTCCACAAGCAAAAGACAAACAGGAAAAAAAATAATTTAAATGACAGCCTAGACATGATAACATTTTAGAATACAACCAGGTAATAATGACTGAATTCCCATTCTTTCTTTAAAGATGCAATTAACTACAGATGAGAAAGGTAATGGCTGTAGGGGAAGCAAAGCTCTGTTGATTCAGTCAGTCATGAATTCCAAGGGAATAATAAGCCAAGGGAATAACTGTTTTAACCCCATTCCTTCTAACAGAAAGCAGAAGAAAGTGCCACCTTACAGGCTCATGTTCAAGAAAATTCTTTCATTATTTGACAGTTAGGGTTCTCTCTTATAACAGCTTCAGCATATATTACATAGATACCAAAGTTAGAGGATGAGAAAGATAGCTTATTGGATATCAGTCCTTCTCAGGACATTGATAACTCAGCACTTCTCTTTTCACTTGGCCCTTTGCAATGCTCAGTTCTTTGTGTTTTAGAGAAAATAGTTAACAGTATTTTTGCCTAACTGTACAATGCAGACTATATTAAAAAAAAAAAAAAAAAAAAAAAGAGAAAAACCAAATTTACTCCAGGCCATGAAATCTTTAAAATATGTGAAGGAATTGAAATATTCACCCTTAGTCAATAGCCACTAATTACACAATTACTAATGCATTCAGTCTCATCATTGAATTATGCAGATTTTCTTATTTTCTCTATAAAGCAATATGTAAATATACTATATATTTCTGTTCTATGAATGAGGCAGGGTTGAGCTTATGTTTAATCCTTCAGAAGCATCTGAATGACCAAATTTGCTGGAAAACCCAATGCTGAGCAAAAATAGTATCATAAACTGCATTCTGACTTCACCAGAAAAGCTTTAAACGCAACAAAAAGTCATTAGCAGAGACTTTCTCCTTGTAAATCCGTATTTACAAGCCAATTAAACCCTTAAATACAACTGACTTGTTCAGCTGTTATGTTTTTACAGCACCACAGTCCTCATAACAGACAACATATATATTTGACTTGCTCAATGTTCTTTTGCTCACCTACTCTGAAGGACAAGTAACTATTTATACATCAACACAGTACAAAAGAGATAAAATAGAGGTTTGATACTGCAAGCTCTTGCTGACTAGAATAACCTGAACTATATAAGCTGAAATACAGAGCACATTATTGTCACAGAGAAAAAATGGTTAATTTTGTTAGGTTAATTTGTTTCTCTTTTTGATGTTCTTAGAGCTAGAAACATATAAGAACCTCTCGAAAGTATTTTAATTGTATCTCCTATCATAAAGAGTTTATCAATCACAAATTTCAACAATTTAAGTGTTATTTAAATTTCTGGCAGAGGAATTAAGTCATGGACAAAGAAATCTATTTCACTGCACACACCAATATTTACATATATATACACATCCCTATAATTTTTTTTATATACACCCACATATTAATACGTTTAGAACATTGTGTATAAATATAGTTATCTATAAATTTGAAGTGCTAAACATGTATATATAATCTTTATATATAATTCATACATATATATATATATATGTATATTTACATAATGTTTTAAGTAAACATTTGGAAAAAAAAAAAGATCCCATATAGTGAAGATGCGGTGAAGTTTTGCAATATCAGTATTTACATGACCTGACTTTTCACTTCCCTCTATTCCACAGCTCAGAAACCACACCCTGGAGCAAACATCAGCAAAAACAGCTGTGAAGAATACTGAGGTTCTGTAACTGTACTGTGTATGTACAGTATGCTCATTGCTGGCAATCTATGCGAGACCTTAGCAAACTGAGGTGCTAAGCTTTATCAAAGATTATGAAAACAATGATTTGGTGGAGAAATCTTAAAATTAGGCATTGATTTCATTGTGATAGTACAAAGCATAAACAACACAAATGCAAATGTGCATATTTCACAGCCATAGGTAAAGCAGTGTTAATCTAACTGGTTTCCCTGTTTGTTTTCACAATCCATGTTTCCCAGAATGGAATAAATCCATTTATTGAAATATATACAACTGAAACAGCATTCATACACTTCAGAATTGACAAGTGGCAAATCCCAAAATGTTCACAATGAGTCGCCAATGGAGAAGCACGCGATTTCTGATGTGTAAGGCAGATCTTAGCTTTTGTTTAGAGCAGAGCTGTTACAGACAAATAACGGTAATGCAGTTGACCTTCTATAAAAGAAATCCACAACTGAATGGCATAGGATTGAAGAAAAGAAACGAGATCACGTGCATTTGCATCTGCACAGACATAAGTGTTTTCTACATATACTCCATCTGCTCCAAGCAGGTAGCTATCAAAAATGCCTTGGGAGATTTTGTAACATAGTTAAAAGAAATGCAAAAGGCTTTAATTTTTATGAAAAAAAAAAAGGATTATATAGAAAATCATTAGCAGCTAGAGTGACAGTAGCCTTTGGGGAACGATCCATCTCATTTCTCTCAAAAAGAGAAATCTGAGTGATAGGGACTTGAAATTCAGTTCATTTCCACAACTCAGAGTTTGCCTATATCTGACAGATAAAGATTATATTTGCAAATCACACAAATTGTAAACTTCCTATAATTCAGCATACTGTTGTACTAATACCAGAACCAGTTGTTAGTAATCAAGATAAAGCAGAAAAATTCCAAGAATTACTTCTAATTTTAAAATCTCTATACACTACAACTTATAATATCTGATATGGGTATTATTGCTTTCATACAATATATTGAAAGAAGATTATGGTGGTATTCCAGAAGCATAATGCTTCGAGAAAATACTCTGTAAACCCCAAGTAAGCCACTTTAGAAATCTCTGCACAAAAAAAGGTCCCTCTCAGTAAGTGAAGGGTAATAGCTACCACATAAAGGCAAAAGAATAGAAATATATATAAATATCAGCATGAAAATATCCATATTTAAGGATGTAGAGCAACAAACAACCCACTTTTTAAGTCCAAGTAAAGAGCTGGAAACGTATAAAAGAATGAACCAGAACCATTAAAATGTTTATGCAAGGAGTTACATACATAAGAAACCTCTCTCAAAGAACCAGATGGCTTTCCATATTAAAACTATTATATAATTGAAAAATATTATAGCTAAATGTAGAATCATATTTTATAGTGTTAGCATTAAAATTAAGATTTAAAAACAAACAAACAAAAAAAACCCAGCCCAACAGCCTGATTAATATGGACTTCACTGCAAATTTGCATCATTAACTATGTAGAGTAAGTAGCCTCAGAAAATAACAGTTTTGATTTCACAGCTCAGGTAATTTTTGAATGAGTGGACACAAGTACACTGAGACTATAACAGCAATTCATAACACAAAAGCCTACTTAACACTTTCTTACATACAGCTATAAAAGCAAATATAATGAACTAAGTCCCTAATAGGCAGTTTCACGTTATCCACTCACTTCTGCTATGTTTCCATAAGCAAAAATATGTTTTAACTCTTAAGTTGATAAGTTATTTTACTTCAGAATATGCATATCATACTAAATAATCCAGTTTCAACAGGATACATAGTTTACATTAGATAACTACCACATAGAGAACATCTTGTGTAATAGGAGCAACGTAACTTGACTTCCTAAAACAGGATTAATTTCCATATATGCAAAGTGAAACATTTAACTTTCAGGAAGCATTTTGAAAACTCTAGTGCCAGTAATGATTAGCTAAACTCTTTGAACTGCAAGGATATGAAAGTATCCTTGCACATGGTCACACAATTAAGCCACGTAATTACAATAAAAGCTGCATAAGGAACTCAGAGATTAAGAGTACAGAACAAGGATGAAATTCCAGAAACTTGCTGTAACATAATGGAAAGCACAGCAATGACAGTAGAGCAGCAAGGCTCCAGGCTGTGGCAAGCAAGAACTTACCCAAATGCAACTACCACAGACACAGAAAGAAAGGAAAGCAGCTACTTACCTTCAGAAGACCTCAAATACACAGGGACCCCCACTAAGATACCCTGGCCTCCACTGCCAACCGTTGAATGAGGTCTGTGAGGGGTGGATCCTGACTCCACCCCTTCTGGTTACTCAGGTGCATTGTATGCAGCTGAGCTCCCCTGGGTTGGCCCTGCCTTCCCACCAGGTGCTCAATCACTGGTTCAGGCCCTGACTAAGGCCTACGATACACTAAGCTGTATCGTAAAACAATAAGTCTAGCATCCCAAGTGAAATGACACAAGTTACCATCAATAGTAGGTAAAAGTACCATAATGTTTCTGCTTGTAACAAAATTTGCCCTATTGAGAGCATCTCATTAAGTTCAACTTTTTAATCCTTCAATCTATGAACTGAGATTTCCCATGTGACCAGATGGAGCTCCATCTTTGACAGGACAGTAATATTCAGACTGTTTTTAAAATAGTTTAAATTCAGTCGTGAACAAGTATGTATTATGTATTAGGACACACATGACAGAACTTTTAATAGGGTAATAGAAATACTGCAATCCCTGATTTTATGAGATAGAAAGACTTGGTTTCTCTACTATTACCACTTACTCAAACTTTCAGTGAACAGAATGTTCCTAGAAGCTGGTGTGTGCGGGCTTACTAAATGTGCCTAATAATAACAATAATAATAACAATTTACTAAATTTTAGAAGTAATATTATTTTTGGATACACATACACATATTCCTTTAAAAAAAAATAATTACATTCCTTTGATATAAAAAGTGACTGTTAGAACTGTCTTTGCAATTAATAAAAGCATATTTTTCATTTCTATTTGATATTTATCATACTGGATTACAGAATTAACTAGAATGATTTCCAGCAATCAGATTTAAGTCTTAATACACACGTTTACTTTGGAGAAAAAAGTTCAAAGTGGTTAGCACTGAAAGATTCCAGTAAATAAACTTATTTTTCCTTCTAAGGATTAATTGAAATAGATCATTTATGAATGGGAGTGAAAAAGAAACCTTACAAACTCAGTTTTAAAACACAGAGCTATTCATGACAGCTTTGTAATTTGATTCATGCAAATCTGCTAGGGATAAAAATCAACCACAATTTAATTTCAAACCTTTCCCAACCAGCTGCTGAACAATTTATGCACTACTTTTCTATTTTTACTGCAGGATAATGACAATGATGAATGCTTTTACTTGGAAATAAATATTCATAAAGCAGGCTCAGATCAAAACTATACCCTTCCAAAAACCCACAAATGTGCAAGATCCATTTACCTCTTCTGAGAGATTTATTTGGAAGATGGAAATGTGCCCACAAATGCATCTCGTAACAATTTAATAGCTCAGTTAAATTAAACCTATGGCAATGCTTACTTCTAACCTCAGTAATCAATATTATTAAAGTCGGTGTCAACTCTAATAGCAACAAACATACGTGGGTGAAGAACAGATTAGTTATGGATGTAAATCAGATAAAGATGGTCCAAATGTCAATAGGAAGTCAACTGCCAGTAAACTACTTGATCTAGGTCACTGTATTTCCAGCCCATCTAGTAATGAGCATAACGAGTTTACAGACACGGACAAAGTGTTAGTTCATTTAACTATGATTTACATGGTCTATGCCTCATTTTTTTTTTTAGAAAATTAACTTAGTACAGTCAATACTCAGAGTCCTTTAATCTGCTAATACTAAATCACAAGAGGAAAAAAGGAGTGATCTGCTGTTTCTTTTCACAGACCTATTGTCAGTTATTCTCTTGCTCCAATACTTTAGTTTTGTGCTTCCCTGGACAAACTATACTCCTAGGAAATGTAAATCATTAATTTTTAAGAGATAATAAGCATATCTATGTCTGCAAATATACACACATATATACACACAAACACACAGAGATGCCATATGTGTATATATAAAGGTATCTATGCAAGAACTACAAATGGGCTCCTTGAGGGCACTTCAGATCTTACCAGAGACCTTATTCCGATTCTCCCACAAAGCTTATTTCATCTGAATGACTGCAGACAGATTTTAGATTCTTTGGGCTCAAGTTTCTTTTGGTTAAAAACTTTCCCCAAATGGTCACAGAAATAATGGAAATGTGGTCTTATGTGTTGATGGTAATTTGAAATTGCTGTATTGCATACAGCAGTTAGGCACAATTTTTTACAAGGGTTTATTCACAAACACTATTCTGCAGAAGCAGATAACTCATTCACCTACTTAGCCTTACAGTGTTAATCTTGTTCTCTTATTCAGTCATTCGGTATTGAAAAAATCCTCCAATTTCAAGGAGCAATAAAGAAAATGGACCATAATATTTAAAGTTACATTAACAGTTCTGAATTAGACTTCTCGTAATTATATTAGCTACCTGTTGGACAGCATTTTTTGTATAGTAAACTAAACTACAACAGTTGCGTAGGATATATCTCCAATCAGACTTTAAGTTTTCATAGTCCAATATGCAAAGGAACAGCTACTTGATTATTTTTTTTTTCTTTTTTTTTCTGATCTGTCACACTAAAATAAAGCTGTCCGAGATCACGTGTGGACAGGTTTTAAGTACTTACTAATTCATTCAAAATAAAAACACGTAAAGTAAACTTTAACCACAACTGCAATTTTAAATACAGAACTGCCTCTCTCCACCCTTTCTCCCACTATTCCACTCAGGGTTATGTTGTGCAGATACCTTAATGCCTTTGCTTTTCACAGAATCACTTTTCTTACTAATCTGGGTGAAACAGATAAAAACATATGAAACCATCAGTGCTCTTACATTTCATAGCAATGTGTCTTCATATCTAAACATCCATATAGGCACAAATCACAGCGGAGTTGAGTACTTATAAAAATGTGTAAGTGAACACAGGCTGCCAATAAAAAGCAGCCCCAAAATCACACAAGCGTAATATTATAAAGAAAACATTCCATCTTACCTTGAGACATTCTTCTTGTTTCAAGAGGTCCTCACAGTCCTTAGCCTGCAGAACAGGAGAATTAAGGCGTTCTTCTACTTCAGACAGCGCTTGCAGAAGCTGAAGGATCTCTGCCAGGTATGTAGAAGGCACGTAAGCGGTTTCCACAGTCATACTTTCAGTCATCACAAAAGTCGTATCTTCGTAAACTGTTTGCTAGTACAGACATACAAGAGAATGTTTCCTTTAGTTTCTCACCTCTACACAAATGTATAATTTATTGCAATTTCCAGTTCATGACCTAGAACCAATTAAAAATTATTTACAAGGCCAAAAGCAGAAATATTTGAGTTATTTTACACAGATCACTCACGTTCCCCTAATTCGACTGAAATGGCAGATACTAAAATTGATCCATAGGGAAGTATACAAACTTCTCTTTTTCCAATGAAATTAAGATAGGAAATGCAAAAATACTTTGAGATTACGACATTACTGGGATTTTAGTGCTAACAATTTCATCTTAAACTGTTAAATCTCTAAGAATATATCCTTCTTTATAGAAATTCCATGCACACAAAGCCCAAAATACTGACATTTCAAGGTGTCAAATAAAATAATGACTTGCCTTACAGATACAATTTCTTAGGTTACATGCAAGATAAAACTAGGTCAATTCAGTACTTACAGTAACATACTAAAATCTCTCTCTTCAACCTTGGAAGTATAATTTGGAATTTCAGTATTTGAATATTTAATGGATAAAATTCACAGAGGAACTCCCAACAATACATTTCTTCAGAAATATATATATATATATATTTATAATATATATATATATAATTTTTTTTTCCTAAAGATGTGTATTTTCGGTAATTTGGACAAATATGAACTAGACACGCTATTCTGAAAGCACATGCATACACCAAGTGCAAGAGAGTCCTGAGTATTTTGTGTCAAAACAGAGTGTTGATCTATAGGTTTTGGAAATATATTGATATATTAGGTGATAAAAAGGTAACACATTAATTCTCCATTTTTCTGATTTGATGTGTTTGTAGACCACAAAAAAAATAAAAATAAAAAAAAATAAAAAAAAATTGTGCTTGAAGCTTCATTTAACTGAACTCCAAATAGATGTTCACCTGTATGTCATTCAGAATATTATATATATATATATTTATATTTAGAAATATATAAACTCTGATTTGATAAGCATAGGTTACTATTTGTCTATTTTATCACAGCACATAGGATTCCTAGTGTGGGAGCACAAATTCACTGAGCTTGGTCCTTGCCTTCTTAAAAATACAAACTTTACTTATTGAAGACCTCAAAGAAATGTTACAAGCAATTGTTGGTTAACATTCAAAAATCTCATTACTTAGTTGTTCCAGTCCTAATACAGATAATCGAGGATTTTGGAGCACTGTCTGTGAATGCATCTGTGGTTCTGGAGAGAACAGCATCATTAGTAAAGGAAAACAAAACCAAACACTATTTCCTACACACTACCTCAGCAAGGTGTCTCATTTTAATTGATCTATTTTCCATATCCATCTTTTCATGATTTCTCCCCTCTGTTACTCATCTTAGCATTTGGTTCTTCAGTTTTCTTTTAAAAGTCTTATAATATGCATACACACATTTGAGTAGCTGTATGCATATTAATGCATATTACAAATAAAATTCATGAAGTTATCTCTAGATTTGTATTATTCTGCTGCATTTCCTATGCAAATTTAATTGCTTTGCTTATACTATTTTAACAAAATGACTTTCTCAGGACATCTGCTAACACTGAAAACTCTTACTGCCATCATATCACTACTATAATTTTTATTTTATATAATTATATAAAATAAAATGTTTAAAAATTGGTCCTCTCCCTTCCCCGTATGTTTCATGAATCACACTCTGCAAGAATAACATTTTACCCCAGTTAACACAAAGAAAAAAGCTCTCTGTGTTGATTAGATAATGGGAGATCCTCAATAAGCCACTGAGCCATGCAGCAATATGTTTCCATTCCTCAAGACTGTGTTGAGACTCTTCTACATACAATGAGGAACTACATCTTTACAAAAAAAAAAAAAAACAACAACAAAAAAAAACAATTTAACAGCTTTTCCCTGTTTGACAGAGAAGACAGATTATTGATATTCAAGTAAAGGGTATGAGGTTATTCACTCAAAATAAGGTTACAGGAACACGTGAAATGACACACACAAGATAATTAAATTCTGACACTTTATTATTCTACTTTTCTAATCTGAATTTAGTCTAATAACTGTGTATATATAGAGTATACACATAATACCTGTTTACATAAAATAGAATCTGTGCCCTCATACTCTTAAAAAAAAATCCTGAAATCAGACAAAAATCAAATAGAAATTTGATGTGTGATTACTTATTAGCCACTTACTGTGCCTAATTAGTTAGAGTAATGACAAAATATCCACCCATTTGCTACAAATGAGTGATAGAAGAGTACTCTTCCAGGCAAAATTTACTAAAATTTGAAGGCAGGGCTGAACTGATCTATATGGTTTACTCATTCCTCAAAGTATGTGTAATATTTAATGCCCATCAATTCAATTGTGGCATAGAGCCACAATTTTATTGTACTTAATAATTTGTTTATTTATACTAAAAGTTAAACTGTAAATTACTACAACCAGATAAATACATGGATGAATCACAATTTGAAAGAAGTCCACCAGAACCCATCTTCATATTTGGCAATATTATTTCATACTTTATTCTAAAGAAGAGGAATCCAAATGAATTAGTTTCTGAATAAATAAATGAGTCTGAAACGTGCTAAAACTGCAGAAGTGTGTTTTTCAAGACACTGCAGGAATTTCTTTCATTCTATCTTGACTTTGTTGATAGTAGGATAACAGAGCTTAAGGCATCTTGCACTAAGGAATGGAGAATAGGCATACACAAAATTGATCATTTTAATGAGTAAGGAAAGATATTTTTGTTTTGCTGTTTTTTCAAAGTTTGCTGGAATTATCATGAAGATACAACAGGCACAGTCCTTCCCTACATTCTGGGCAAGCATCTTTACCAGAAATGTACACATGAAACTGAATAGTATACCAGCAGTATACTGTAAGAAGT